CGGCAATTTCATACTTTAACCCCTAATATTTTAATTAAAAAACCGACCACAAAAGTTTGTGAAATTACACCTTTATATATTTGCCAAGTTTTATTGAAATTGGTTAACGGAAAGTGTGTGAAATCCAATAAACCGGATTTATTCCCTAATATGCCACTAATAATATTATAATATTTATAGTGTAATATTTTTTTCATATTTTAAATGGGATCACTACTGACTGAGGTACCCTCTTTCCAACAGCAAAATCATCGAAATCGGTTCTCAAAAGTCGGAGTAATCACGTAACATACATAAAAAAAACAGTTGTATTGAGAACCTCCTCCTTTATTGAAGTCGGTTAAAAATAAATAAAATTGGTCTATTTATACGGTATTAATCTATTCATGGTGAAGATCTGTCGTAAAATTTGATTACCAATTCGGGGCAAGCATCGCTGTAAAGATTTAAAGGCGAATGTGTTTTTGTTCATATGGTATTGGTGTTTTAGATGGATCAAGTTTTATAGAGTCATTAAAGCAGAGTTATTGAATGGAGTGGATTAAAGAGGCTATGTTGGACTAAGCGGCGCGAGAATCGTTACTTTCAGATACTTAGCTATTTTCTTAAAGTAAACAAATGAAAAAATAAAAAAGCCGTGGTAGCCTTAGTGGTTTAACCTCCTGATACCCCCGGTATCACCTATGACGCTTTCATTATTTTTTTATTTCACGCTATCTCAATGCATTCGTTTGATCCAATATAACGTTGCATTTCTTAAGATATTAACAATTGCTAATAATGTGGGTATTTTTCATCGGCGCGGCGCATGTAATCATCGCTTTTTGCAAATACCAACATGGCGAATTCTCGAAGAGGTAAATATTGATTCAAAGGTACTTGCTACAAGGTTTTGTGTTTTTTAATTAGTAAGGACATTAATCGTATGAGTTTTGGTATAAACTACAAAAATAAAATTCATTTTTAATACATAGTTTTTTCAACCAATTCTTTTTGTATCGTAGACGATACTTTGGGCACTCAAGTCTTTTTAAGACCCATGTGTCTTTATAGCAATGATAGTTGGTGAATTAGCAGTAATGTTAGTCGCTTTAAACGAGTCAAGGTGTGATGATATTCTCCAATGAACGCTACCTCCAATGAACACTCAAATGTGGGTTCAAATCCGGGCTAATAATCTTGAGTTTCTCAGAATTTATGTGCGAAATTTAATTTGAAATTTACCATGACCTTTTCAGTGAAGGAAAACATTGCGATGAAACAACCTACACGTGGAAGAAGGTTCACAACCTTCGGAAAACCTATGAAGTCCCCAAGCTGTATTGGGCCATCACGAAGTATGGTCTAAACCCTCGCCTGAGAGGTCACCCGTGTCCAGCAGTGGGACGTGTAAATGGGTTGATGATGAACGAAAAGAAAATACAAGTTACAATAACAACTTAATTACTAGAGCTACGGATAAATAAATTGGATGAATTTGGGTCACTGCGGCGGCAGCGTTTCTTCTTTGTATCTCTGTGATAATGCGTTAGGCAATATTGCTGCCAGAACTTGGGTTTCTCGTACGGTCGGTTAGTTTTTAGATTCAATTTTGTAGTAATTAATGTAAGGACCTTAAGTCCCGACCGTGATCGATGCTTATAAGTTGTCGGTGTTGTTACTCTTACATAATATAAAAGAACTCATAGGAAAGACATTATAAGCAAATTTTACACACACACACACACACACACACACACACA